TGTTACTGGATGATTGAAAAAAACTTCCCAATCAACAGTTGATACGAGTATAATGAGTTCCATACAGTTTGAACTTCTAATTGTTTAGACTTTTCAATTTCCACATTATGGAAATAATGGGAAACAAATGATCTTGTACTCCTGAATATATCCTTCTAGACAACTTGAAATTAATCAGTAGGATCAGTTGTGAAGACTACATAACTTAATTTATGGGACTTAGGATTTTATGAAGGTGTCGCAATGATGGGTTGTCCCAATATGTCATCTGTCCAATAAATATAGCAGGTGACATTTTGGATCTGTGTTTCTCCTTCTTGAAATGTAGACTTTCAAGAGTTTCCCCACTCCACTTTCAGCAAAAGGAATTCTAATGGTTCCCAGAAAGTTGTATGGAATTATCAGGTTGGTATGACTAGTATTCCTATTGAAGCTCTGATTACTCACTGATGGGTACTTTGCATAATTGTTCTCAGGCATCCTTTCCTTTGTAAACTAAATAATGTAACAGGTGAGGCATCTTCTCGATCTACTCCTCAAAGCCACGAAGCAAGCACTCAAAGTTTAGTATGCTGCTCTAGCCCACACAAAGTCTTCTAGGCATGCATGCACGTGTCTTAAATACAATTCCATCAGGAAATGCATTCATCTAGGTGCATTGCGTGATGACTGAGTGTACAGACAAGATAATTTCAACTTGCCATTTTTATACTTCAACCTTACCAATTGTGATTTGTTACATTAAATAAGAGAGGATGGATTAATTTAGCCCAGATTTTAAGTTTCTCCTTGAAAGAGGGATCCATGTCAGCCTTTTTAAAAGAAACAGAAATCATGCTGTTCATCATACTGATGAAACCCAATCTGGATCCCAAAGTGAAGGAAGTTGTTAATATTTTCTTAATTAAGATGTTAAGCAAGTGGTTGCCAACCAGACTCCAGGAAACCTTGAAGAAATTGATTCTCTAAAATCCATTTGACCTTAACTTTAGGTCCAGTTTTAAGGTAGATGCTGCTATAATGACCCTATACAAAGACTACTGCAATTTTGGTTGTTTGCATTCAGGTTGGTTTGGTTCAGCTTTTTAGCTATTTTATACTGATTATATTCATATTTGGTCATTTCCAAAAGGTCATGCAAGGGGATACTTGCTCTATTCTATTACATCATAGGATCCCTCAGGGTCTAGGCATCTGGAAGAAACCACAACAATGTCACACATGCCATGATTTCATTATACAAATGATACAAAATATTTATTGTCTTATGACATATGTCAGAATGCATCTGATGTCACTTGCCCTCCCCTGCAGATGCCCATGCTCAGAACTCAACTTCATCCTTCATGCTATTCAGTATCAACATGGAAGGCTGAGATTAAGAGTATTATCAATATGGAGACACCTCACTTTAGCTCTCCATTAATTTCCAGTCACAGAGGATATCCTGAACTGATGACAAAGCAAAATAATTGACTGGATAAAGGATAATAAACTGAGACTAAATCAAGACAAGAGAATGTTAATGTTTGTGAATGGGTCATCTACCCAATTAATTAATAGCTAATCTGTCACATAGCAGATTGCAATCCCTCTAAATAATGAAGTATATGATTTAGAAATACTCCTGGATCCACTGGTTCTGATGGGCGTCTTTCAAATTTTAAACTTAGTATGAAAGGTATATAGAAATTTTAAAAATAAAATAAACTCCATCAGGGGATACACAGCTTCCAGGTCAGTGTATTCCTAGCGCTGATAATCCATGTGAGACATGACAAATCTTGCAGCTACAATTATGTGAAATGATGATAGTCAGAACTTGTCTTTACTCTTAACTTGGTGAAATACTTGAAGATACCTGGGGAAAGAAAAGTTAGGGCACTAGTTCTACCCCCCTCCGCACCAAAAAGGTGTCTGTGCCTGACATTAGCATAGCAGAGAAGCAAGTTCGTTTTAGTCCTTCCGTTGAGAAGACACAATAAAAAGGAAAGGTTACTACATGTACAAGAGCATTCTAGACTTATCAGAATCAAACAATAGGCAATCAGCGGATCGGTTGATAATGGATAGAAAATTTAGATAGAAAAGTTACAAAGGTTCCTTCCATTTAAGGAAAGAACCTTTGAATCCAACTCATTTATTTTAAATATTATAATTTATTGCACTTTCTATACCATTTCCTAGAGTGGTTCACCTTCAACAAAAAATGTGGCATGTTCATTCTCTGTCCAGAAGACATAGGTAAAGGATGGAAAACAGATAACTATTTTCAACTCACAAAGCCAGGCACCTTGCAAACAGGAACTGCAGTTTTTTGTTTTTGTTTTCTAGCTGATCCTAGAGGCATCTCCTACTTCCTCTTCTCTTTCTCTTTTTAGAAGGCAATCTTTTGACTGTATCTTTGTGGAATTCTATTCAAACCTATTTTTAATTGTTATTTATATTTTCAATAGAAGAGAATAAATATAGCTCAAGGTTGAACGGTGGAGTCCTTGGTGCTCTCTGAGCTTGGTTGTTTGCTTGCAGATTTTCATTACCCAACTAGGTAACATCATCAGTGCTAATGAGTGTGGGGTTTGCTCCTTGTTTATATACAGTAATTTGCCCTGCCAGTGTTGGTGGGGGGGGTGTTTTTCTCCTTGGTAGTTCCTTGATTAGGGTATTGTCTTCTGCTTGTTTGGTGTTGATCTCTGCTTATCTGGATGTAGGCTGCTGGAGAGGATGTGTTCTGGTCTTATTGTTTCCTTCTTATTGTCCCTTTTGAATGGTGTGTAAATGTGGTTTATCTCTATGTGTCTTTTGATGGCTGATTTGTCTGAGTGCCAAGCTTCCAAGAATTCCCAAGTGTTTTTGCATTTGGCTTGGTCTAGGATGCTCACAGTTTACCAACTGAAATTGTGGTTGAGTCCGGCCATGTGTTGTGAGATTAAGGAGCTTTCATTGTGTCTTCTGACTGCTAGTTGGTGTTCATGGATGCGCTCTGCTAGTCTTCTGCCTATCTGTCCTACATAGTGGCTGTTACAGTTGATGGTTCCTATTTTTTCCTCTGGGGCTGCTGGGTCTTTTGATTTACTTAAGATGTTTTGGAGAGCTTTAGTTGGTTTGTGTGCTATCGTGATGCTGTGTAGTTGTAATAGTCTGTTGGTTGTTTCTGAGATGTTTTTGATGTATGGTAATGTTATCCTTGTCATAGCTTTTGTTGGTTATGCTGTAGTGGGTTGAGTGCCCAGGCACTTTTTGATACAGTTGCGTGGGTATCCATTTTGTTGGAAGTTGTTGTATAGGCAGTCAGTTTCCTTTTTCTGCTGTTCTGGGTTGCTGCAGTGTGTTTGCACTCGTCTGAATAATGTTCTTACACAGCTCCTCTTGTGGGAGGTTGGGTTACTTTGGTAATGGAGCACTTGGTTAGTGTGGTTATTTTTTTTGATACACTTGTATTTCTAATTTCCTCTGCTGATGAGGATATCCAGGCAGGGTAGTGTATTGTTTTCTTCTTCCCTTGTGAATTTTATTCCTTTGAAGATGTTGTTGATAGTTTCATGTGCTATCTCTAATTGTTCCTTTTTCATTATGACAAAGGTGTTATCTACATACTGGATCCATACTTCTGGTTGTATGTGTGGGAGTGCTATAGTTTCTAGATGCTGCATTACAGTCTTTGCTATGAGTCCTGAGAATTCTGTGGACATAAAGAATGCTGTGACATCAAATGAAACCATTTTATCTTCTTCCATTTTTAGGTCTTTGATTTTCTGGAGGCACTGTAGTGGGGAGTTGATAGAAGTCTCTGTGAGATGTCCAAGCTTTTTTTGTAAGTTCCTTGGCTATGTTGTATATTGGGGTCCCTGGTAATGATACAATTGGACGAAAAGGTATGTCGGGCTTGTGTATTTTGGGGCGTCCCTATAAGTGTGGGAGGATGGGTCCATTGCTTTTCATCTGCCACTGTTCTTTCATAATTCATATTTTAAAAGATTGTTATTCATAATTTAAAAGATGGTATGGTATAAATTAAATTTACTAACGCTTCAGAAACTATAGATTACTGCAAAGCATATTTCTCCAACTGTTAAAACAGTAGCTGTTTCTCTTAATAACAAGACGCAGGTTCGTGCCAAGTACTCATATACAGAGACCTAGGACAAGGACAGATATGAGTGCATGCCTTCTACTTGTCTCTAACTTAGTCAATCTCAAATAGAAATCCTGACCCAAACCCTTAAGAGCCAGAGTGGGGTGGTGATGAAAGAGTTGAAATGGAACTGTGGAGATCCAGGTGCAGAACTACTGAATGGATGATGTTGGGCTAGTCAGTCTCACTCAGCTCAACCTACCTCACAGAGTTAGTGTTTGGGGGGACAATTTTGGAAGAGGGAGTGCTATGCACAGTTTGGAGGAAAGGCAGGACGTAAATCAAATCATAGAGAGATTTCTCCAAGCAGAAGAGGCCAGAGCAACAGATGATGCAGAGATGCAGCAGGCGGTCTCTTCACCGATGGGGTCTTGAAGTTCCAATGAGACATCCTTTCATGTTTTCTAAGCAAGCAGCTTCCTCTCTGGGAATAATCAGCGGAGTGCCTTTACTGGCGAAGGGAAATCTTGAGGCACTAGCAATCGTTTTGTTGTGAAAAGAAAAGGCGACCTGGCGCACTCCACCATAACGTCCGGAGGGACCATACGCAGCCCTCGGGCGGCTCTTCGCTAGGCCACGGCACCCTCCCCGTGTCTCGAAGCGATTCTTCTGTCCAGAGGTGGTGAAGCGCGAAAGATGAGTCGCTCCCGTGACTCACGCCTCACCTCCTCTCCCTCAGCGTGGAGGGAAACTGAGCCGCGCGCAGCAGCGGGTCCCCCGTCGCCCCACTCCCGAGAGGGCGCGCGCCCGCCTCGCGCCTCCATTTCGCTCCCCTTCCCCGACCGGTCGCCCCTCGCGCGCCCCAGCCTATTGTTCTCCCGCCGTTTCCTTCCCCCTCGCCTTCCCCTCGCAGGTGGGCGGGGTTTTCCCGGCCTCGACTGACACTTCGGAGGCGGGCCGGAGCCGGTGAAAGCGGGAGGCTGGAGCCGGCTGCCCGGCGGGACGGAGGCGGCAGCGGCGGCGGCGCTGCTGAAGGCAGCTTCGGGCCTGCTGTGCGGCGCTTCGCCTCATCGGCTGCCTCCGCGCGGGCTTGCAAGCCAATGAGGGCCCGGACCCCGGCCCTCGCTGCCTCAGGAGCTGCCGGGAGCCCCCCGTGCCGTCCGCCGGCCCGAGGAGGGGCGGGTCGCCTGGACCCCCATGCGGCGGCTCCAGGAGAAGTTCAGAAGGTGAGCCGCGTTGGTTTATTGGGTGCGAGAGACTCCGTTACAGGCGGCGGCGGTTCTTCCTCTCTAGGAGGAAGACAGATTCACCCTAATGGGTGTGTTCTCCTTTCCCTCTTCCGATGCGTTAATCTGGGAAATTCTGCATTGTTCGGGTTGCCAGACCTTATTTTCTACCGTTTACTCTGTGTTCTGCCTCGAGAATGGAGATCTCTTACAACAAAACGTCCTTTTTTAAACACGTGTCTTAATCCTCCCTTCTCCAGTTGGCTGCATTCCGTGGAGTTGACTGAAACGTGGGGTCCGCTTTCCCTTTCCTCCTACGTTTCAGGGCACGCTTTGGGGGATTTTGATTTGCCGTAGCTATTTTGGGGTTATGTACCCACCGGAGGAAACGGGAAGGGGGGAGGCAGAGAATCAAGATGGCTTAACTTGAGTTGGCACAATAAGCTGCAGTTGGGTAGTCATGTCGAGGGTCAAGTGAAAACAGATTCAGGGCGAGATCGTTAGTCGAGATTAATTAAAGCAGAGTACAAATAACGTAGATGTGGTTATGTGTGTATACCTCATTCAGGGATATGTGTAACTCTTTGCCTCTTTTCTAAAGACTGGAAACCCATAAAGGGGCTGTGATCTTGACTTACTGCCAGGAGCTTTTATAAGATTAAAACTGGATTTAATCTCTAGCACTCAGTTTTGAATGCCATTAAGGTGGTTTCTCTAAAGAAGTTCAATGTGCGTATCTCAGTACAGGTGGAATTTTGGGGATACTGATAGTTTATCGAAAAAAGACAGAAAGATATGTTACTTGAGCATGGGTTCCATAAAATGATGTAGAAAAATGCATATATAGTAATTATAAAGCCCCATCTGGGAATAGCGGACTTTGTCAACTGAATTGTTCCAGCTGAAATTTATTTTGGTTTATAAGCATGGGCTTTTATCAGTAAGCTTCATTTTTGTTTCTAATATTAGTCCTTTGTTGTGTCTTTTGTTGATGGGATACAGACCTTTTGCTTAGAGCATACAAAAAGGTACATGTTAATACATTACAAGTATGTATGATAAAATCTATTTTGTTTTTGTAGGTAAATCCATAATGAAATTACTCTGCTATGAAAAACAAAATCACATATGGGAATGTTAGTCTTTGCATCTGATTTCAGAAGTGGTTTTGTGAGATACAGAGATAAATTGAGAGAATGAGTATTTGTATGCAAGTTATTTCTGTTTTCATACATTTAACCAGACATTAATTTGATCCAAGCTGATAGTTTATCTTCCATCACTTTTTTTTCCCTCCATCACATTTTAATTCTACCTCATTTTTCTTTCTTCCCTGCACCATTTTGAATTACCTATTCATGTTCACTGACTTTCTTCCTGGAAATACAGATACTTATCTGAGGAATGCAAACACTTCTGGCCTGAGTTTTCTCAGAAAGGCATCTGAAATTCAAATCCTTGGATTAACTCCCCTTCCTTGTTTTTTTTTCTTCTAGTGTAACTGCATTTTGTGATTTCCTTTATTCCACTTTATCTCCAAGTGAGAGAAGCCAACTGAATTTGTACACTCTTTGAAACTGACAATAGAGACAGCTGAAGTTACAAGGGAATGTGAGCATTTGGTATTGCATATACTTACTGTTGAACAGGTTCTTAAAACTATAAATATATGAAATAAGAAGTGGCTATTCTCTCAGCTGCTGAAAAAAATTGGATAGGGATCTGCTCATGGATAAGAGTACAGTAGACATTATAGTGCTTTTCTTTCAGAAAGGAAATAGACCATAGAGAAATGAAGTTTCTCATCTTCTAGAAGTGGGTGAAAGTTCATATATCCGGTGTTTGTCTTGTTCATCTTACTTGAACTACATTTCTCTTTCATGTATAACATATTAGAAAGCTTTTCCATTTTTTTCCCTTTTTATTTTTCAGAATCATTCATATAGCAGTAGGACAGGATTCATCTGTTTGAGGGGCAAAAGAAGAACTGAAAGCAATTTGGGAATAATATACTAAAGTAATTTGGAAATTATTGTGATAGTAATAGAGGCTGCTGAAAATGAGCCAAGCATGTGTTAGGTCAGAAACAATAGTGCCAAAATACTAATGCAAATGTTTGTTCTCTTTTTAAAAAATATGTCATATAGGACTCAAAGTCACATCTGTTGTATTCTCTGCTGCAGTTATTACTATTTTGATGTTTGGAAAACGTATCAGATTTTCTCTTTATCACATCATGCTCCAATTATTCCTTAGAATTTTAGAGACAAGAATGGTTTAATTTGAAGCATGAATGGACCTGCCTTTATACATGGTCCAACTTCACATGGTTACATGTCTTTGTTTTTCACATCAGAAATGCTGAAGAATTGGCTTCTTCCTCTTTTATAGTTTCATTTTTACTTTGAAAAATGTATAAAACATTTTTTTCCTTTTCACATATGAGTCAAGAACAATTATTTAGAAGCAAGGTTTATACAGTTAAAAATAGGTAAAGGAGACAGATAATGAGAGTAGGTTTGTTGTAAATTTTGGATCCATCCTTCAGTTAAGGGAGACTCCTTAGGTCAAACCTTAGTAGATAGCACCTTGCCAATCTGGCTGATCTAGAAAGCTCAGGAGACTCAGTCCAGGTTAGTATTTGGATGAGGCCACCTGGGAATTCCAGGAGTGAGAACTAAAGGAAGAAAAAATCCTAGAAGAAGGTAGTGACAAACATCTTTTGTATTACTGCCAAGAAAACAATATAGTGGTGTCCGTGAAGTCTGTTGGAATCAATCCTGAAGGAGATTTTACCTTTACCTTTCTTAGATCAGAATGGCTAAAACATTCCCAGGTAATTCAGCTCCATATTCACCAAACCAGTATCAAAATGTTACAGCATTGTTTTTAATTGTGATATGAAGTTTTTATCAACTTCATAATTTTTACATGCCAACCATGATCATAACCACTGTATTGATTTCGTCTTACTTCATTTTGAAAATAAGCATGAACCAGCCTGATTACCAAAGTCCCTTTTTTAGAGAGCAACTACCAATTTTCCAGTCCTGTCTCTTATCTATGAAGAGACTTATAGCTCAGTTGTCTGGATTGTCTAGTTTAGCAAGACAAAGAGGTGAATTGTAACTTGTATTGCAAGAACATAACGTCACAACTGGTATCTTAATTTAATTCTCCCAGGGTTTGTGTGTGTTTGAGTCAGTCTTGACTCCTGATGAACACATTAAAAGCCCTGGGCTAGAAGCCAGCAGGCTTTGAGTTCTAATTTTGCTTTAGGCACAGAAGCCAGCTGGGTGACTTTGGGCCAGTCACTCTATGTCAGCCGTAGGAAGAAGGCAATGGCAAACCACTTCCAAAAATGTTGCCAAGAAAATTGTGTGGATTGTCTCTCAAATTACCAATAAATATTAAGAGAACAAAACTAGAGCATTATGTATGTTCTTTTTTGTTCCTATCAGGTTTACCTTTTAAAATCTAGACAGCATTGATCTGCATGTTTATCAGTTTAAGATTCATTTGAATCCATTAAAAAATCCTTCTAATAAGATGATTCAAGGCTGCAGTATGAGGGTTTAATCATTTAAATAATCGTACGCAAATTAGACCCAATTGGGCATCTTCAGTACAGTACTGTTAGAAGTGCCAGTAGACAGTGCATTTTTTAAGCTTTCATAAAAAGATTGATTAAAATGCAGAAATTTGATGAATTGAAAATGCAGTATACTAATAGGATTGCCTCTTAGAGATAGCCTAAAGATTATTTTTTAATATTTAATTTAAAAAATTATTAATACAAAAAAACCCAAAAAACAATGTATAAAGCTATGAGGAAATATAAAATAGAACAAAAGGAAACTAAACAAAAAATATAAGTATACAGGACATATATTCATGGATACATATACATATATACAAATTCTACATAAGCATTTCAATATATTTCATCATAATCATCCATAGCAAGTCTACATGCTATTATGTGCCGCTAAAACTTAATAATATAATGCAGGGGAGAGGGCAATTGCTCACATTTATGAATTGATGCAAAGCAATCTTAGGTTAACGGAGAAAGCTGATAAGCTAATTTTGGGGAACAAAAACTGCAATATGGCTACTGGTGGTTATGACTCAAGCAGCCTGTATTAAAAGGATTGTTTCAATCCAGCTAAATTTGTATAAGATTGCCCTTTAGAACTAGTTTATATTAAGTGGTTACCATAAGTAACTATGAATTACTTGAAAACAAGTACATGGAGTTCCATGCTTGTATTTTCATGCATGTAAGTGAGTGGGCTGAGGAGGTGGGGTGGAACACTCTGTTTCCATTCTGTAATATCACAGTAGTGCTAAAGCTTTTGTGGCTTATTTTCAAGCCAACTCTGTTTTTACAGGAAGTATTCAAGTCATGTTGTTTTGGTGAGGCACAATAGAAGAGGGAGGATGGGAATACCTTCTCTCAAAAAGGAAAAAATACCACATTCCTATTATACCTGTAAGCTGCTGGCTTGTCACCTGCATGGATTTCTGCTTTTAAACAAAATGAAAATAGCACTGTAATGCAAACTAGTCCCTGCAATTTTCTTGGCAACATTTTTATAAGTGGTTTGCCATTGGAGAAGGGGACTGGCCCAAGGTCACTCAACTGGCTTCATGCCCCAGTTTCTAGCCTGATGCCATAACCACTACACCAAACTGGTTCAAACTGCAGGGACTTGTCCAGGCATTTGCCAGGAGTCAAGACTGACTTGAAAGCACCAAACAAACAAACTAGAGAGTTTTTTGCCTACAGAAAGTAGAGGCAGCTCTTATTTCTCAAGATGTGAGAGAAAACAACAAATTTCAATACAATATTTGGGAAACATTGTATTTATATCTGTTTATTTGAATATCAGAATTCTTGAAATGCAGAAAGTAAAGAGGATTATTTTATTATTAAATTTGAAAATAATTTGGAAAAGTACAGTATAATTAATTAACACATTCTCAGAGTTCAATCT